ACTGATTGCCCACACGTTTGTAAAAGTGTCGGGATAATAGATGTCAGAAATTGTGGTAATGCGGAGAGGAAAAACCTGAGCAACCTGCTGTCAGGCGATAAATAAACGTCGGGGGGTTTGAAAATGAAAAAAAAACTCTCCGTCCGCCGCGCGATCGTCAAACAAACGAACAAATTGGTGAATGTATCACCGCCGACGCGTTCGGAGCGAAGCTGGCGGCAGCGGCACCTCGCTTGCCCCACCCCACCCCGCACCCACTCGCCCTCGGCACCGACGGCGCCTCCCGTCGATGAGAGAACGAAAATAATTGTCGTTGGCACCGGCGGGATGAGACGCTGGGATGAGACGGTTTTAGCCGCGGCGATTTTGTGGAAAGGGCGCCGGGACGCGATCCCTCCCCACCCACCCCCCCACCCCCCCACCACGACGACGGGCGCTGTAACCCGAGCAAGAGCCGCCGCCACCGCCACCGGCTATATTTACCGCACGGGCCCCCTGAGCGCGCACGAGAACGGCCCTCGCAACCGCCGAAGCGACGGTGCTCGGCACGGCCACGGCCGCTGTGAACCGCCGCCGGTGGTGGTGGGTCGCACGCCGGCGGTGGTGGGTCGCACGCCGGCGGTGGCGGGTCCCACGCCGGTGGTGGTGGGTCCCACGCCGGCGGTGGTGGGTCGCACGCCGGCGGTGGCGGGTCCCACGCCGGCGGTGGCGGGTCCCACGCCGGCGGTGGCGGGTCGCACGCCGGTGGTGGTGGGTCCCACGCCGGCGGTGGTGGGTCGCACGCCGGTGGTGGTGGGTCGCACGCCGGTGGTGGTGGGTCCCACGCCGGCGGTGGTGGGTCGCACGCCGGTGGTGGTGGGTCGCACGCCGGCGGTGGTGGGTCGCACGCCGGCGGTGGCGGGTCCCACGCCGGCGGTGGCGGGTCCCACGCCGGTGGCGGTGGGTCGCACGCCGGTGGTGGTGGGTCGCACGCCGGCGGTGGTGGGTCGCACGCCGGCGGTGGCGGGTCGCACGCCGGCGGTGGTGGGTCGCACGCCGGTGGTGGCGGGTCGCACGCTGGCACCGCCACCACCGCCGTTGAGCGGCGCGCCGATGTTTGTTGACCGGCCCACGCGGCCGGGCGGTTCGGCCGTCGGGAGATGCGATTTGGTTTTGAGAGAGTTGTAGGCGGTTGTGCTTTGGATAGACTGCCCCGTCCCCACTGACCCTTCGCCACCCTCGACCCTCGCCATAGTAATGTGGAATTTCCACCGCTGGCTCGGGGCTATACACACGGGGGGGGGGGGGGGATGAGTGCCGTTTAGATGTCCATTTGAGCGGCGACTCGCCTGTGACTTTAGATTACCAAATGTTTTTACTCGGGTGTAAGAGAGAGCTTTTATGCACGAGCTCTCTGTAAGAAGCAGAGCCTGAGTGCAAAGTTGCGCTACGATTAGGGAATTATCCGATTGGGGGCGACAAAAAACCACTCCCCACGTTGATAAAAGGCGTAAATGGCCCATATCTTGGGAGATGCCCTTTAGGTGTGTTCAGCCAGAAGGCCTTCTGCTAAGTACGCTGAAAGTCTTTCGCAATGCACCTTAGCCAACCATGCTAAGGGGCCGTCCATAAATGACGTCACGCACCTAGAGGGGGGGGGTGGTCAGACATTTGTGACGATGTGTGACGAGGGGGGAGGGGGTTTGAGAAATGTGACGTCACGTCAAAATGCGCAACTTTAAATAAATATAGACAACACGTTCTACTTAATACATTTTTATTCTTTTATTATTTCCATTCTACGTGACTTTACCGAAAGAACCAAGAAGATGAATCCCTGCAGTCACGAAAGCTTTAAATCGAAATTTTATTAAATAGACTTGTAATATTTTCTCCTACAACATCAGAGTGCAGCGCCACATTAAATACGCACCACAATGACAATAGTTTAAAGCGATTTGAAGCATGTTTATATTTTGGGGGAGGGGGCAGAGCTTTGTGACATCATATTTGAGGGAGGGGGGGGGGGGTCTGACTTTTTGTGACGCCGTGTGACGAGAGGGGGAAGGGGGGGGGGGTAAAAAATCGTCCAAAATCGCGTGACGTCATTTATGGACGGGCCCCCTAATCGGTGGGAAGAGCAACCAATGGCAGGCTGGCACCTGCACCCATCTGGCCGTGCGCTTCGTGACGCACGGGGGGTGCCGCTGACGCCGGCAAAAAGACGATCCACCGCCGGCGAAGACTTTGACGTGAAGTTTTCGTCGCTCTTGACCGCGGGAAAGCTGGCGACATTGATCAAAAAGTGTGGGGGGGTGGTGGTGGGTGGGGGTGGTGGGGGGGGGGGGGTGGTGGTGGGGGTGGGGTGTTAGAACTTGGAATTTGATCTTCGTCGCCAAGTCTTTGGCCACGTGACATTTGGCTGCTACGCACTGTACGTGCGTGCGGGGGCCGCGGGGAAAAAATCAAAAGAATCGACGTGCCACCGATGAAACGCTCGGCGACACGGGCTGGGAACCTGTCCGGCGCTGGCTTGGACGCACCCGGCGCCCCGAGCAATTAACCTACGCTGGTTGCGCGCAGTCCGTCATCATTATCGCATCATCGTCGTCGTTTTTTTGTATAAATCACATTCCTGCGGAGGGAGCTGGTAGGAACGTTGGGTTTCTCGGTCAATGGCCTGCAGGGTCAACGGCGGCGTGGTGTATTCCGCAAATGTGGCCGACTGTTGGTGGGCACAAGCCGGCGTGAGTAGGTTAAATGTTGAGTTTTATAAGGGCACCACGGGGTGACCAGCCCCTCCCCACCCAGCCCCTCCCCACGCAGCCCCTCCCCACCCAGCCCCTCCCTCCCCACCCAGCCCCTCCCTGCACGACGGACGGACACAATAATCCCCTGTGGGCTGGTGGAACCAGGAGGTTCCTACCAGTAAAAAGAATTGACGAGAGCCTGGTAAAAGGCACGAACCTGTAACGAGGGAGGGAGCGAGGGGGGGGGGTACAGAAATTCCGCGGACGACCAAAGGCTGAATTCCCTTGCTCCTGGGTGTGGGGAAGGTGACGACGATTGGGGCTCACCGCCCCCCCCCCCCCGCCGCCTCGTAGCAGTCGGGACTACGGGCCGACGGATTTTTATTACACGGGGGGGGGTGGGGGTGGCAGGGGGGTGAAAGAGGAAGGCAAGGGGAGAGGAACAAAAGTAATAGTAGTAGAGTCACGTAGAAGGGAAGTAAGCTCCTAGCTTGGCATTGTCTCATTCTTCACCTGAGGACGGCTGCTAGCGTTGTGGCCGAAACGTCGTGAGAATTGTTTTATTATGTTTTATTTTTATTATTTTATTACTTCCCTTCTACGTGACTTTACCGAAAGAACCAAGAAGATGAATCCCTGCAGTCACGAAAGCTTTAAATCGAAATTTAATAGTAGTAGGCTACTACACGTGTATTTTCATTGTCAGGACCAAAAACGGCGCAGTGGATTTGCCTTGTGACTTCTGGCGACGACGTGAATCGGACGAGCGGGTCCGATTCACATTCCCACCACCACCAACCCCCCCCACCACCGCTCCCACCACCGCCACCACCGCCACCACCGCCACCACCGCCCCCAGCCGCCGTCGCCGCGACGATTTGGCGCTCGCTCGTTCCTGGACCGACGGCGCGGCCCTCACCGTCGCCGTGGGAGACGCGGCACGAGCGAGCAAGCGGCTGGCCGGGGTTCGAACACGCCGGCGTCGATTGTTTAGTGTTTAGTTTTGATCGGAGCAGCGTCCAGGAAGAGGAGGCGACAGTCTTGTTGTAACCTGCCGGAGAACAATCACTTTGGCCGCTGCCAAAACAGGAGCTGTTACGCAAGAATTACCGTGACCTTTGTCCCAACCCACCCCGCCCGCCGCACCGATTTTCCCTCTTCGGCGATTCCTTGAGTAATTGTCGCGATCCCGGTTTTGTTGTTGTTGATGTTGTTGTTGGTCGCGCGATGAGTTTCCTCTTCGCGGTCGTTGAGCGGGTGAGTGACTGGATTAGAGCGCGCGCGAGTGGGTGGGTGAGCGACGAGATGAGTGAGTGGGTGCATGAGTGAGTGAGTGAGCGAGTGACTGGATGAGAAAGAGGGTGAGCGGGTGAGCGAGGATTAGAGCGCGCGCGAGTGGGTGGGTGAGCGACGAGATGAGTGAGTGGCTGCATGAGTGAGCGAGCGAGTGACTGGATGAGAAAGAGGGTGAGCGGGTGAGCGGGTGAGCGGGTGAGCGGGTGAGTGAGGATTAGAGCGCGCGCGAGTGGGTGGGTGAGCGACGAGATGAGTGCGTGGCTGCATGAGTGAGCGGGTGAGCGAGTGACTGGATGAGAAAGAGGGTGAGCGGGTGAGCGAGTGACTGGATGAGAAAGAGGGTGAGCGGGTGAGTGAGTGACTGGATGAGAAAGAGGGTGAGCGGGTGAGCGGGTGAGCGAGCGAGTGACTGGATGACAAAGAGGGTGAGTGGGTGAGCGGGTGAGTGGGTGAGCGAGCAAGTGACTGGATGACAAAGAGGGTGAGCGAGTGAGCGGATGAGCGAGTGAGCGAGTGAGCGGATGAGCGAGTGAGCGAGTGGACGAGCCCCCCCTCCTCCGGTTTTCACCGCGCGCACTTTGACCCCCCCCACCGCCCCCCTCCCCACTGCCCCCCCCCCCCCACCCACGAACGCGGTGTGTGAAGGTTGTGACGCGTAGGCTTACCGCGCGGGGGTCTCGTGAGAACGTCAAGTTTGTGAGAGACGGTTGGACGTCGTGTGAGTTGACAGGCGGCGGTATGACGCTGCGCCATGCGCACGCTTATTGTAAGCATCGTGAGAATGCGGTATGGTGATGTGCGTGCCGATTTGTGAGGCTTATGGCTGGAGATCTCGTCCCGCACTTTGCCGTACCGCCTTCTCCCGGTGACACTGGGCAATTCCCAAACGCGCGGGCCGATTTACAGGCGTTCGCAGCCGACTCTTTGACCCCTGACCTCCCTCCGCCCCCCCCCCCTTTCCCCCCGCAAACACAGAGATGGTGCCCCCCACGATCTGCCAAGCCCAAAGCGCGTCCTCCATCTTCGCCAACAACGAGCTGAGCCTGGCGAGCGTGCAGGTGTACGGCTTCGACTACGACTACACGCTCGCATTCTACTCCAACGAGCTGCACGCCAAGATCTTCAGCACCGCCCTCGACATCCTGCTGTCCGAGTACAAGGTGGGGCCGTTGGATTTCTCGCGCGCTCGCTGACTCGCTCGCTCATTCGGTCGCTCAGTTGACGCTCTCATCAAGTGGCTCGTCCACTCGCTCGCTCACTCACTCTATCGCTCACTTGCCCACTCGCTCACTCGATCACCCTCTTTCTCATCCAGTCACTCGCTCACTCACTCATGCACCCACTCACTCACTCACTCATCCAGTCGCTCACTCACTCATGCACCCTCTCACTCACTCATCTCGTCGCTCACCCATCCACTCGCGCGCACTCTAATCCAGTCACTCACCCACTCACTCATTAAATCACTCACCGACTCACTCACTCATCCAGTCACTCACCCACCCACTCGCTCGCATTCTCATCCAATCACTCACCTACTCACTCACTCGCTGACTTGTTCGCTCACACACTCACTCTCTCATCCAGTCACTCACACACTCACTCTCTCATCCAGTCGCTTACACACTCACTCTCTTATCCAAATTAAGACATTTATAGACAAAAGCGGCCGGGAGCTGCTGGCGCCACTGGTGAGATGTTAACGACCTCGCCTGGTCTACAGGAGGTCGTGGGTTCGATCCCGACCCTGACGCCTGCTGCTGCTGTATATTTGGAGTTTGCATGTCTCTCTCCCCGTGGTCGTATGGCTTTTTCTCTTTTTCCCTCCATGTTTTTAGTCAACGTCACCACGCGTTCAGAGTATTTGGCTGCTGCTATACATTTCCACGACGACGATGATGATGACGACGACGATGATGACGACGATGACGATGACGACGACGACGATGATGACGACGATGACGACGATGACGACGATGACGACGATGACGACGATGATGATGACGACGATGACGACGATGACGATGATGACGATGACGACGATGACGACGATGACGACGATGACGACGATGACGACGATGACGATGACGACGATGACGACGATGACGATGATGACGATGATGACGATGACGATGATGATGACGATAACGACGATGACGATGACGACGATGACGACGATGACGACGATGACGACGATGACGATGATGATGACGATGATGACGATGATGACGATGACGACGATGATGACGATGACGATGACGATGATGACGACGATGACGATGATGACGACGATGACGATGATGACGACGACGATGATGATGATGACGACGATGATGATGATGACGACGATGACGACGATGACGACGACGACGATGACGACGATGACGGTGACGATGATGACGACGATGACGATGACGACGATGACGACGATGACGACGATGACGACGACGACGATGACGACGATGACGACGATGACGGTGACGATGATGACGACGATGACGATGATGACGACGATGACGATGACGACGATGACGACGATGATGATGATGACGACGATGACGACTATGACGACGATGACGATGATGACGATGATGACGATGATGACGATGATGACGATGATGACGACGATGAGCCGCTGGGTTGGGCCATCGTTTGTGATGGCGAGGTCGCTTCTGGAAAAAGAGCGACATAGCTCAATGGGCCTGACCTGGTAAGAATAGTTTAGTTTAGATTGCACGACCCCATTGTGCGCCGGGTCGGCCTTAATAGGTGCTCACTAACACTGCTGGCCTCAACAGGCAGCGGGGCTACACGGGGATCCGTGTGGTCTGTGTGATCTCTGTATCTGTATGATCCGTGTGGTCTGTGTGATCTGTGTGATCTTTGTGATCTCTGTGATCTGTGTGGTATCTGTGTGATCTCTGCGTCTGTGTGTCTGTGTGTGATCTATGTGTCTGTGTGTGATCTGTGTATGATCTGTGTATGATCTGTGTGTGATGTGTGTTATCTCTGTGTCTGTGTGTCTGTATGATCTCTGTATCTGTATGATCTGTGTGTCTGTATGATCTGTGTGTCTGTATGATCTGTGTGTCTGTATGATCTGTATGATCTGTATGATCTCTGTGATGTGTGTGTGATCTGTGTGGTCTGTCTGCAGTACCCAGAGGAGCTGCGTGCCTACACATATTTGCCGGGCTTTGCCATCAGGGGTCTTCACTACGATGTCCAGAAGGTACGGAGATCTGGGCTCGTTGACATCTTGACGCAGCTGTTTCTGTGTGAACGCATGTCTCTGTGTGTGAACACGTGTCTCTGTGTGCGAACACGTGTCTCTGCGTGTGAACGCATGTCTCTGCGTGTGAACACGTGTCTCTGTGTGCGAACACGTGTCTCTGTGTGTGAACGCATGTCTCTGTGTGAACACGTGTCTCTGTGTGTGAACACATGTCTCTGTGTGTGAACGCATGTTTCTGTGTGAACACGTGTCTCTGTGTGTGAACACATGTCTCTGTGTGTGAACACATGTCTCTGTGTGTGAACACGTGTCTCTGCGTGTGAACGCATGTCTCTGCGTGTGAACACGTGTCTCTGTGTGTGAACACGTGTCTCTGTGTGTGAACGCATGTCTCTGTGTGTGAACACGTGTCTCTGTGTGTGAACACGTGTCTCTGTGTGTGAACACATGTCTCTGTGTGTGAACACGTGTCTCTGTGTGTGAACACGTGTCTCTGTGTGTGAACACATGTCTCTGCGTGTGAACGCGGCTGCCTTGCTGGGGATGCAGCTGCCTACGTATAACAACGCCTGCCGAGGTGGGAATTTGAATCCAGTCTGTCCGCCCCTTCCTGCACCCCCCCGCTAGGCTCTGCTCATGAAGATCGACGCGTTCCACTACATCCAGCCGGGCACCGTGTACAGGTGAGCCGCCCCCCGCCCGCGCGGGTTGAGCTCTCCCCGTGCTCTCTCCGCTGCTGCATGTAGGCCCCGTCGCCACAGTCCGTCTCGCCGCTACGCCCCGTCCTTGACGTCGCTCGCTGCCGCCGTCGTTATTGGGCCGCGGCCTCTCTGCTGCTGGATGAAGGCAGCCCCCTCCCCACGTGGGTTTAGCGCGTTTGGCCAAGCGGTGGCGGCGGCGGCGGCTGCCGAACCTGTCGCCGTGACGGCGACAACCAACCGGGTGGTGTGGTGTGGCGTGGCGTGGTGTGGTGTGGTGCCCGTGCGTTGTCTGTCGCGAGCGTTGCATCCCTCCCACCCCCCCCAGCCCCCCCCCCCAGCCCCCCCCCCCCGCAGCCCCCCCAACTTTCCCCGTGAACCTCTTTGACTTTTAACCCCTTTCAGCTGCGGCTCGAGGTGTCAGCTGCCGTTGGCCGGGTCCGCCTGTCCGATGAGCTACGAAGCTCTTCGTCACGAGACGAAGTGCTTCATAGCCAGGCTCCAAGACAACAGGGTTTCCATGACAACAGGGTTTCCTTGACAACAGGGTTTCCCAAACTATGGAGACCAACCCTGAGAGTGAATCGGACTTTTTGCTCATCCGCACTCATCTCCCCCCCCTCTCTCTGCACTCTCTCCACTCTCCCCCCCTCTCCCCCCCCCCCCCTCTTTCCTCCCCCCCTCTCTCCCCCCCACCCCTCTCTCCTCCCCCCCTCTCTCTCCCCCCCCTCTCTCCCCCCCCCTCTCTCCCCCCCCCTCTCTCCCCCCCCCTCTCTCCCCCCCCTCTCTCTCCCCCCCCCTCTCTCCCCCCCCTCTCCCCCCCCCTGTCTCTCCCCCCCCTCTCTCTCCTTCCCCCTCTCTTTCCCCCGTTGCCCCCCAGGGGCCTGAGCCCCGTGTCGGAGGAGGAGGTTCGCTCGCTGTACGACGGCACGCACGTCCCACTCGACCAGATGAGCGACTTCTACGGCAAGGTGGGCGAGTGGCCGATTGGGCGAGTGGCTGATTGGGCGAGTGGCCGATTGGGCGAGTGGCCGATTGGGCGAGAGGGGGCGAGTGGGTAAGGGGGCGAGTGGACGAGATTCGCAGATTGACTGGCCAATTGGGCGAGTTGCCGATTGAGCGAGGGGGCTAGGGGGCGACTCCCACGCGTCTCCTCACTCTGCCGTGCGTGGTGAAGAGGGCGGCAGTGCGTGCGGGCAGCCGGGCGGTGCGGCGGCGGTGGCAGCCACGCAACCTCGTTCGTCTGCTCACTCGCCCACTGACTCACTCGCCTGCCCGCTCACTCGCCCGCTCACTCGCCCGCTCACTCGCCCGCTCACTCGCCCTCTCACTCGCCTGCTAATTCACCCGCCCGCTCGCTCTCCCGTTCACCCGCCCTCTCACTCGCCCTCTCACTCACTCACTCACTCGCCCACTCTCTCACTCGCCCACTCACTCACTCGCCCTCTCACTCGCCCACTCACTCGCCCACTCACCCACTCACTCACCCACTCACTCGCCCGCTCACTCTCCCTCTCACTCGCCCACTCACTCACTCGCCCTCTCACTCGCCCACTCACTCACCCACTCACTCGCCCTCTCACTCACCCACTCACTCGCCCACTCACTCGCCCTCTCACTCGCCCACTCACTCACCCGCTCACTCGCCCTCTCACTCGCCCACTCACTCACTCGCCCTCTCACTCGCCCACTCACTCACTCACTCGCCCTCTCACTGGCCCACTCACTCACCCACTCACTCGCCCTCTCACTCGCCCACTCACTCACCCACTCACTCGCCCTCTCACTCGCCCTCTCACTCGCCCACTCACTCACCCACTCACTCGCCCGCTTACTCGCCCTCTCACTCGCCCACTCACTCACTAGCCCTCTCACTCGCCCACTCACTCACCCGCTCACTCGCCCGCTCACTCGCCCTCTCACTCGCCCACTCACTCACTCGCCCTCTCACTCGCCCACTCACTCGCCCGCTCACTCGCCCTCTCACTCGCCCACTCACTCACTCGCCCACTCACTCGCCCACTCACTCGCCCACTCACTCGCCCACTCACTCGCCCACTCACTCGCCCACTCACTCGCCCACTCACTCGCCCACTCACTCGCCCACTCACTCACCCGCTCACCCACTCACTCGCCCGCTCACTTATTCAATCGCCCGCCCACTCACTCGCCCACTCACTCGCTCACCCACTCACTCGCTCGCTCGCTCACCCACTCACTCGCTCGCTCGCTCACCCGCTCACTCACCCGCTCGCTCACTCACTCGCCCACTCACTCGCCCACTCACTCGCCCACTCACCCACTCACTCGCCCACTCACTCGCCCACTCACTCACTCACTCGCCCGCTCACTCACTCGCCCGCTCACTCGCCCACTCACTCACCCACTCACTCACCCACTCACTCACCCACTCACTCACCCACTCACTCGCCCACTCACTCACCCACTCACTCGCCCGCTCACTCGCCCACTCACTCGCCCACTCACTCACCCACTCACTCACCCACTCACTCACCCACTCACTCGCCTACTCACCCACTCACTCGCCCGCTCACTCACCCACTCACTCACCCACTCACTCACCCACTCACTCGCCCACTCACCCACTCACTCGCCCGCTCACCCACTCACTCGCCCGCTCACTCACCCACTCACTCACCCACTCACTCACCCACTCACTCGCCCACTCACCCACTCACTCGCCCGCTCACTCACCCACTCACTCACCCACTCACTCGCCCGCCCACTCACCCACTCACTCACCCACTCACTCACCCACTCACTCACCCACTCACTCGCCCACTCACCCACTCACTCGCCCGCTCACTCACCCACTCACTCACCCACTCACTCGCCCACTCACTCGCCCACTCACCCACTCACTCGCCCGTTCACTCACTCGCCGCGGTTGCCTGTCGCGTGCAGGGGAGCTCCATGAAGCAGTTCATGGACATCTTCTCGCTGCCCGAGATGATGCTGTTGTCCTGCGTGAACGACTACTTCCTGAGCAACAACATCGACTACGACCCCGTCCACCTCTACAAGGACGTGACGGTGCGCACCGCGCCAGCTGCGTGGCGGCCTTCCCATCGGCCTGGCGGCCCACACGCCCCAACCGCAACCACACGCCCACCACACCCACACACCCACCACACCCACCACACCCACACGCCCACCACAACCACCAGGGCCACCGCACCCTCACTGCACCCACACGCCCACCACACTCGCGTACCCACCGCACCCACATGCCCACCGCACCCACATGCCTCACCGCAACCACCATGCCAACCGCACCCTCACCGCACCCACACGCCCACTACACCCACACGCCCACCACACCCACACCTCACCGCAACCACACGATAATGACGACGATGATGACGACGATGATGAGACGAGGATGACGATGACGATGATGATGACGATGATGATGACGACGATGTTGATGACGATGATGACGATGATGATGACGACGATGACGATGATGACGATGATGACGATGATGACGATGATGACGACGATGACGACGATGATGATGATGATGACGATGACGACAATGTCGACGATGACGACGATGATGACAATGATGATGATGACGACGACCACGATGACGACAATGATGAAGATGACGACGATGATGGCGACTGCAGTGATGACGCCGACGGCGACGATCGGTGTGTGTCCGCAGGATTCGGTGAAGGATGTCCACACCAGGGGAGTGATGTACAAGCTGATTGAAAAGGATCTCGGTGAGTTGGGTGCACGCGTGACGCGGCAGACGCCCCATGCTGCAGCCGTCGCCACGATCTTGGGGCCAGAGAGTGCATTAACCAGGGCGGGCTGCTGGATTCGAACCGCGAACCTCTCCAACAAAGTGGTGAAAGCGCCACCGCTGGGACATGCGATCGCCCCCCCCCCCCCACCAAATTAAACAATGGAGCTTCCAGTCCAATCAGACTCCCGGCACGAGGGAACTGCCCCAGGGAACTGCCCCCAGGGAACTTCCCCCAGGGAACTGCCCCCAGGGAACTGCCCCCAGGGAACTGCCCCCAGGGAACTGCCCCCCAGCCAACTGCCCCCAGAGACGTACACACACACACGCATGTGCACACACACACACACGCATGTGCACACACACACACGCGCGCGTGCAGACACGGTATGTACAAAGACAAAGATCCCCCGTATAGCCTTTAACAGACTGTTGGGGCAAGTGCTGTTAGCGAGCACCTGTGAAGGCTGGCACGGCACACGAGCAGGTGGATTGCTAACACCACGCCCGGCCGCCTTTGTCTCCCTAGTGGCGATGCTTACACGTCGCACCAGGTACTTATTTGAGGCCGAGTCGACCTAGGGGAGGCCCAGGATCGGTTCAGATAATCGTCACTCGTGTTGGCCGTGAGTGGGAATTGAACCTGGGTCGCCAGGTTCGTAGCGCAGCACACTGACCGCTACACTACCGCTCCCCACAAACATACACACACATACATACACACACATATATGTACACGCACACACAAGCATACACACACGCATACACACACATACACAAGCATATGTACACGCACACACAAGCATACACACACATACACAAGCGTACGTACACGCACACACAAGCGTACGTACGTAGCCAAGCGTGCTTATCGGAGGTGCGAGGGAAGGAAAAAACACAAAAAGCAAGTCTAAAGAAACGAGTTTTCAATCTAGATGATGGTGATTTCAAAGTGGCTTCCATATATCGGAAGGAGGAAGAGCGTTCCAGACGGCCACAGAAGCTCATCTGACAGCGCGCGATGCGGTGACCACCGTCTTCGTTTGATGGCGAGCCAAAAGCCGCTGATGAGGATGACCGGCGTTAGCGTGATGGTTCATGCTCCTCCTGTCTCTCTCTGTCTCTATGTCTCTCTGTCTCTTTCCGTGTCTCTCTCTCTGTCTGTCTTTCTGTCTCTCTCTGTCTCTCTGTCTGTCTCTCTCGCTGTCTCTCTCTCTGTCTCTCTCCGTGTCTCTCTCCGTGTCTCTCTCCGTGTCTCTCTCTGTCTCTCTCCTCCTGTCTCTCTCTGTCTCTCTCTGTCTCTCTCTGTCTCTCTCTGTCTCTCTGTCTGTCTCTCTCGCTGTCTCTCTCGCTGTCTCTCTCTCTGTCTCTCTCCGTGTCTCTCTCCGTGTCTCTCTCTGTCTCTCTCCTCCTGTCTCTCCGTGTCCCTCCATCTCTCTCTCTCGCTCTCTCTGTCTCTCTCCGTGTCTCTCTCCGTGTCTCTCTGTCTCTCTCTCCTCCTGTCTGTATTTCTCTCTGTCTCTCTCCTCTCTTGCTCTCTGCCTCTCTCTATGTCTCTCTCTCTGTCTCTCTGTCTCTCTCTCCTCCTGTCTGTCTCCCTACCCGGTGTCTCCGCTGCGTCTGCAGAGCGCTACATCCTGCACGGCAAGGAGACCCACGACATCCTCCACAAGTTGACCGCCAGCGGCAAGAAGCTCTTCCTCATCACCAACAGCCCCTTCAGCTTCGTGTGAGCAACCGCCGTTTACTCTAGTAATCCCGTTACTATAGTAATCCCGTTACTATAGTATTCCCGTGACTCAAGTAATCCCGTTACTATAGCAATCCCGTTAATATAGTAGTCCTGTTACTATAATAATCCCGTTACTCTAGTAATCCCGTTACTCTAGTAATCACGTTACTCTAGTAACCCCGTTGCTAAAGTAATCCAGTTACTCTAGTAAGCCAGTTACTCTAGTAACCCCGTTACTCTAGTAATCCCGTTACTATAGTAACCCTGTTAGTATAGTAATCCCGTTACTATAGTAAACACATTACTCTAGTAATCCCGTTACCATAGTAATCAAGTTACTATAGTAATATCGTTACTCTAGTAATCCCGTTACTCTAGTATCCAGTGACTCTAGTAATCACGTTACTCTAGTAATTTCGTTACTCTAGTAACCCTGTTACTCTAGTAATCCCGTTACTCTAGTATCCAGTTACTCCAGTAATCCCGTTACTCTAGTAATCCTGTTACTCTAGTAATTTCGTTACTCTAGTAATTCAGTTACTCTAGTAATCCCGTTACTCTAGTAATCCCGTTACTCTAGTAATCCTGTTACTCTAGTAATCCCGTTACTCTAGTAATCCTGTTACTCTAGTAATTTCGTTACTCTAGTATTCACGTTACTCTAGTAATCCCCTTACTCTAGTAATCCCGTTACTATAGTAATCCCGTCACTCTAGTAATCCCGTTACTCTAGTAATCATGTTACTCTAGTAATCCCGTTACTCTAGTAATCCCGTTACTCTAGTAATCCTGATACTCTAGTATTCACGTTACTCTAGTAATCCAGTTACTCAAGTAAGCCCGTTACTCTAGTGATCCCGTTACTTTAGTAATCCAGTTACTCTAGTAATCCTGATACTCTAGTATTCACGTTACTCTAGTAATCCCGTTACTCTAGTAATCCTGATACTCTAGTATTCACGTTACTCTAGTAATCCAGTTACTCAAGTAAGCCCGTTACTCTAGTGATCCCGTTACTTTAGTAATCCCGTTACTCTAGTAATCCTGATACTCTAGTATTCACGTTACTCTAGTAATCCAGTTACTCAAGTAATCCCGTTACTCTAGTGATCCCGTTACTTTAGTAATCCAGTTACTCTAGTAATCCCGTTACTATAGTAATCCAGTTACTATAGTAATCCAGTTACTCTAGTAATCCTGTTACTCTAGTGATCCCGTTACTCTAGTAATCCCGTTACTCTAGTGATCCCGTTACTCTAGCAATCCAGTTACTATAGTAATCCCGTTACTATAGTGATCCCGTCGCTCTAGTAATCCCGTTACTCTAGTAATCCCGTTACTCTAGTGATCCCGTTACTCTAGTAATCCCGTTACTCTAGTGATCCCGTTACTCTAGTAATCCAGTTACTATAGTAATCCCGTTACTCTAGTGATCCCGTTGCTCTAGTAATCCCGTTACTCTAGTAATCCCGTAACTATAGCAATATGGTTAGGCTAGTAATCCGATCACTAGCAATATGGTCGTGCTAGTAATCCCATTACTTTAGTAATCCGATCACTCTATTAATCCCGTCACTCTAGTAATATGGTTACACTAGTAATCCCGTTACTGCAGTAATCCAGTTACTCTCGTAATCCGATCACTCGAGTAATCTGGTTACGATAGTAATCCGATTACTCTAACAATATGGTCGCTCTAGTAATCCCATTACTTTAGTAATCCGATCACTCTATATTAATCCCGTCACTAGTAATATGATTACACTAGTAATCCGATTACTTTATCAATCTGGTCGCCCTGGTAATCCCATTACTTTAGTAATCCGATCACTCTATTAATCCCATCACTCTAGTAATATGGTTACGCTAGTAATCCGATTAGTTGCTGTCCCCCCATATCCCGGGGTTGTAATCCCATCACTCTGATTACTCGAGCGAAGCATTCGATGATGCATCGTCATTGACGATCCCTCGTGATGGGACTTTGCAGGATGAATGTTGAGATGTTATAAGGGGCACGGGGTGACCAGTCAGGTCTGGGTTGGTCTGTAACACGGGAGGGCACCATCTGCCATTCAAACAAACCAAGAAGCCAAGCCTAAAGTAGAGTCCCCGTTTTTCTGTCCCCTTTGTCAAAGGAGCTTCCGCAGATTTCTACGGAGCCCATTTGTGACCCCCCCCCCAATAGGTTGCTCATGGCTCGGGCCATGGCTTGTTTAACCTGGGGGGGGGGGGCGGGATTTTACAGCTCTGCTCATTTCTGCCATGTGGCTCCAAGTGTGTGTGTGTGTGAGTGTGTGAGTGTGTGGGAGTGTGTGGGTGCGTGTGTGAGTGTGTGAGTGTGTGGGAGTGTGTGTGAGTGTGTGGGAGTGTGTGTGAGTGTGTGTGAGTGTGTGGGAGTGCGTGTGAGTGCGAGAGCGTGTGAGTGCGTATGTGAGTGTGTGGGAGTGTGAGTGTGTGTGTGTGAGTGTGTGAGTGTGTGTGTGAGTGTGTGTGTGAGTGTGTGTGTGAGTGTGTGAGAGTGTGTGTGAGTGTGTGGGAGGGTGAGTGCGTGTGAGTGTGTGTGAGTGTGTGTGAGTGTTCGTGTGTGAGTGTGTGAGTGCGTGTGAGAGCGCGTTAGTGTGTGTGGGAGTGTGTGTGAGTGTGTGAGTGTGTGTGTGTGAGTGTGTGTGAGAGTGTATGAGTGTGTGTCTGAGTGTGTGTGTGTGAGTGTATGAGTGTGAGAGCGCGTGAGTGTGTGTGTGAGTGTGTGTGTGAGTGTGTGAGTGTGTGTGAGAGCGCGTGAGTGAGTGTGTATGAGTGTGTATGAGTGTAGGTCCTCGCTAACAGCACTTGCCCCAACATTCTGTTAAGGCTATACGGGGGATCTTTGTAAATGAGTGTGAGTGTATGGGAGTATGTGTGTATGTGTGTGTGTGGAGCGGTGGTGCAGTGGTTAGCGCTACGCTGCGCTATGAACCCAGTGACCACAGTTCGATTCCCGCTGACGGCCAACACCGGTGACGATTATCTGAGCCGGTCCTGGGCCTCCCCTAGGTCGGCTCGGCCTCAAATAAGTACCCAGTGCGGTGTGTAGTAAACATCGCCACTGGGGAGACAAAGGCGGTCGGGCGTGGTGCTGACCACCCACCCCCTCGTGTGCCGTGCCGGCCTTCATAGGCGCTGCTCGCAAACAGCACTTGCCCCTACAGTCTGTTGAGGCTACACGGGGGATCTTTGTCTTTGTAGCGACAAGGGCATGCGGTACATGGTGGGGAAGGACTGGAGGGACCTCTTTGACGTGGTCATCGTGAAGGCCGACAAACCGAGCTTCTTCAACGACAAGCGGAAGTGAGCCCACGTGTGTGTGTGTGCAGTGTGTGTGCAGTGTGTGTGTGCAGTGTGTGTGTGCAGTGTGTGTGCAGTGTGTGTGTGCGTGTGTACACTGTGTGTGTGTGTACACTGTGTGTGTGCGTGTGTACACTGTGTGTGTGTGTGCGCACACTGTGTGTGTGTACACAGTGTGTGTGTGTGTGTGTATAATGTGTGTGTGTGTATACGTACAATGTGTGTGTGTGTATACTGTGTGTGTGTGTGTATACTGTGTGTGTGTGTGCACTGTGTGTGTGTGTACACTGTGTGTGTGTGCACTGTGTGTGTGTGTGTGTGTACACTGTGTGTGTGTGTACGATGCGTGTGTGTGTACACTGTGTGTGTGTACACTGTGTGTGTGTGTGCACTGTGTATGATGTGTGTATACACTGTGTGTGTGTGTACAATGTGTGTGCGTGTGTCACCTAGACCGTTCCGCCGGCTGGACGCGCAGGGTGGACTCCAGTGGGACCGCATCACGGCTCTGCACAAGGGCGAGGTGTACAAGCAGGTACCGCCACGTCTACCCACTCACCCCCGCCACCTCCTCCTCCTCCTCACCCCCTCCTCACTGCCACTCGGGTCCCTCCTCCTCCTCACCCCCTCCTCACCGCCACTCAGAGACCCATAGACTCACATAGAGACCCGTAGACTCGCATAGAGACCCGTAGACTCACACAGAGACGTAGACTCACGCAGAGACCCGTAGACTCACGCAGAGACCCGTAGACTCACACAGAGACCCGTAGACTCACACAGAGACCCACAGACTCACGCAGAGACCCGTAGACTCACACAGAGACGTAGACTCACACAGAGACCCGTAGACTCACACAGAGACCCGTATACTCACACAGAGACCCGTAGACTCACAGAGAGACCCGTAGACTCACACAGAGACCCGTAGACTCACACAGAGACCCGTAGACTCACGCAGAGACCCGTAGACTCACACAGAGACCCATAAACTCACACAGACACCCATAGACTCACACAGAGACCCGTAGACTCACGCAGAGACCCGTAGACTCACATAGAGACCCGTAGACTCACACAGAGACCCGTAGACTCACACAGAGACTCGTAGACTCACACAGAGACCCGTAGACTCACGCAGAGACCCGTAGACCCACGCAGAGACCCGTAGACTCACACAGAGACCCGTAGACTCACACAGAGACCCGTAGACCCACCCAGAGACCCGTAGACTCACGCAGAGACCCGTAGACTCACGCAGAGACCCATAGACTCGCGTAGAGACCCGTAGACTCTCACAGAGACCAGTAGACTCACACAGAGACCAGTAGACTCACACAGAGACCAGTAGACTCTCACAGAGACCAGTAGACTCACACAGAGACCCGTAGACTCACACAGAGACCCCTAGACTCACACAGAGACCCATTGACTCACACAGAGACCCGTATACTCACACAGAGACCCGTAGACTCACACAGAGACCCCTAGACTCACACAGAGACCCATTGACTCACACAGAGACCCGTATACTCACACAGAGACCCGTAGACTCACACAGAGACCCGTAGACTCACACAGAGACCCATTGACTCACGCAGAGACCCGTAGACTCGCGTAGAGACCCGTAGACTCTCACAGAGACCAGTAGACTCACACAGAGACCCGTAGACTCACACAGAGACCCGTATACTCACACAGAGACTTGTAGACTCACACAGAGACCCCTAGACTCATACAGAGACCCATTGACTCACACAGAGACCCGTAGACTCACATAGAGACTCGTAGACTCACACAGAGACCCATTGACTCACACAGAGACCCGTAGTCCCACCCAGAGACCCGTAGACTCACATAAAAACCCGTAGACTCACATAGAGACTCGTAGACTCACGTAGAGACCCATAGACTCACACAGAGACCCATAGACTCACGTAGAGACCCGTAGACCTACGCAGAGACCCATAGATTCACAGAGACTCATTGACTCACATAGAGACCCATAGAATTGCATAGAGACAAAGTGGGTTCACTCATAGACTCACGTTCGGACACATAGACTCACATAGAGACCCGCTTAGAGACCCAATGACTCGCACGGAGACCCAGAGACTCGCACGGAGACCTATAGAGACTTGCAAAGAGTCGGGTTGACTCGATCATTGAGTTGACCACGAGACCCTGTGACGGAGCGAGGAGGACTCTGAACGGCCGGGTGGACTCGGCAGGGTGGACTTGCACGGCTGGCTACGTACGGTGCGAAGAAAGTTCGTGCGTACTGTATCCGTACTGTACGTACAAGCCCAAAGCGTCGAGCTTGCGAGCGACAAAGCAGCCCGACGAGTTGAACTCCTGAGCGGTGATTGACAGAGCATGCGCTAGTGCGTGTGCGTGTCGTGCGTGTGTGTGTCATGCGTGTGCGTCGTGCGTGTCGTGCGTGTGCGTGTCATGCGTGTGCGTGTCATGCGTGTCATGCGTGTGCTCTTGTGCGTGTGCGTGTCATGCGTGTGCGTGTCGTGCTTTCGTGCGTGTGCGTGTCGTGCGTGTGTGCACTCATGCGTGTGCGTGTCGTGCTTTCGTGCGTGTGCGTGTGCGTCGTGCGTGTGTGCACTCGTGCGTGTGCGTGTGCGTCGTGCGTGTGTGCACTCATGCGTGTGCGTGTGCGTCGTGCGTGTGTGCACTCATGCGTGTGCGTGTGCGTCGTGCGTGTCGTTAAAAAAGACGCGGGTCCCACTCGCGCTCACGGCCGCCAGCACCGGTGACGATTGGATGAACCGGCACGTAAACATTCGCGGCACTTGCCCCGGCGGCCCCTTACAGGCTACGCGGGGGACCTTTGTCTGTTGTGTGGTGGCGCGTGCGCAGGGCAACCTGTACGAGTTCATGCGGCTCACGGGCTGGGTGGGCTCCCACGTGCTCTACTTCGGGGACCACATCTACAGCGACCTCGCGGTACCGCGGCCAGGCTCGCCCACGCAGAGACACGCGCACCTGCAGTGACACTCACCTGCAGTGGCACACACCTGCAGTGACACACATCTATACTGATACACACCTGCAGTGGCATGCACCTGCAGTGACACTCACCTGCAGTGACACACACCTGCAGTGGCACTCACCTGCAGTGACACTCACCTGCAGTGACACACACCTGCAGTGGCACGCACCTGCAGTGGCACGCACCTGCAGTGACACTCACCTGCAGTGACACACACCTGCAGTGACACTCACCTGCAGTGACACTCACCTGCAGTGACACACACCTGCAGTGACACACACCTGCAGTGACACTCACCTGCAGTGACACACACCTGCAGTGACACACACCTGCAGTGACACTCACCTGCAGTGGCACACACCTGCAGTGACACACACCTGCAGTGACACTCACCTGCAGTGACACACACCTGCAGAGACACTCACCTGGAGTGACACACACCTGCAGTGACACTCACCTGCAGTGACACTCACCTGCAGTGACACGCACCTGCAGTGACACACACCTGCAGTGACACTCACCTGCAGTGACACTCACCTGCAGTGACACACACCTGCAGTGACACTCACCTGCAGTGACACACACCTGCAGTGACACTCACCTGCAGTGACACACACCTGCAGTGACACTCACCTGCAGTGACACACACCTGCAGTGACACTCACCTGCAGTGACACTCACCTGCAGTGACACTCACCTGCAGTGACACACACCTGCAGTGACACTCACCTGCAGTAACACACACCTGCAGTGGCACTCACCTGCAGTGACACTCACCTGCAGTGACACTCACCCGGAGTGGCACACACCTGCAGTGACACTCACCTGCAGTGACACTCACCTGCAGTGACACTCATCTGCAGTGACACTCACTTGCAGTGACACGGACCTGCAGTGACACTCACCTGCAGTGACACTCACCTGCAGTGACACTCACCTGCAGTGACACTCACTTGCAGTGACACGGACCTGCAGTGACACACACCTGCAGTGACACACACCTGCAGTGACACTCACCTGCAGTGACACTCACCTGCAGTGACACGCACCTGCAGTGACACGCACCTGCAGTGACACGCACCTGCAGTGACACGCACCTGCAGTGACACGCACCTGCAGTGACACTCACCTGCAGTGACACACACCTGCAGTGACACTCACCTGCAGAGACACACACCTGCAGTGACACTCACCTGCAGTGACACTCACCTGCAGTGACACACACCTGCAGTGACACACACCTGCAGTGACACACACGTGCAGTGACACACACACCTGCAGTGACACTCACCTGCAGTGACACACACCTGCAGTGACACACACGTGCAGTGACACACACCTGCAGTGACACTCACCTGCAGTGACACTCACCTGCAGTGACACGCACCTGCAGTGGCACGCACCTGCAGTGGCACGCACCTGCAGTGACACTCACCTGCAGTGACACACACCTGCAGTGACACTCACCTGCAGTGACACTCACCTGCAGTGACACACACCTGCAGTGACACTCACCTGCAGTGACACTCACCTGCAGTGACACACACCTGCAGTGACACACACCTGCAGTGACACTCACCTGCAGTGGCACACACCTGCAGTGACACACACCTGCAGTGACACTCACCTGCAGTGACACACACCTGCAGAGACACTCACCTGGAGTGACACACACCTGCAGTGACACTCACCTGCAGTGACACTCACCTGCAGTGACACTCACCTGCAGTGACACACACCTGCAGTGACACTCACCTGCAGTGACACACACCTGCAGTGACACTCACCTGCAGTGACACACACCTGCAGTGACACTCACCTGCAGTGACACTCACCTGCAGTGACACTCACCTGCAGTGACACACACCTGCAGTGACACTCACCTGCAGTGACACACACCTGCAGTGACACTCACCTGCAGTGACACACACCTGCAGTGACACTCACCTGCAGTGACACACACCTGCAGTGGCACTCACCTGCAGTGGCACTCACCTGCAGTGACACTCACCTGCAGTGACACTCACCTGCAGTGACACTCACCCGGAGTGGCACACACCTGCAGTGACACTCACCTGCAGTGACACTCACCTGCAGTGACACTCACCTGCAGTGACACGGACCTGCAGTGACACTCACCTGCAGTGACACTCACCTGCAGTGACACTCACCTGCAGTGACACTCACTTGCAGTGACACGGACCTGCAGTGACACACACCTGCAGTGACACGCACCTGGAGTGACACGCACCTGCAGTGACACGCACCTGCAGTGACACGCACCTGCAGTGACACGCACCTGCAGTGACACTCACCTGCAATGACACACACCTGCAGTGACACTCACCTGCAGAGACACACACCTGCAGTGACACTCACCTGCAGTGACACTCACCTGCAGTGACACACACCTGCAGTGACACACACCTGCAGTGACACACACATGCAGTGACACACACACCTGCAGTGACACTCACCTGCAGTGACACACACCTGCAGTGACACACACGTGCAGTGACACACACCTGCAGTGACACACACACCTGCAGTGACACACACCTGCAGTGACACACACCTGCAGTGACACACACCTGCAGTGACACTCACCTGCAGTGACACTCACCTGCAGTGACACACACCTGCAGTGACACTCACCTGCAGTGACACTCTATAGTGATACACATCTATAGTGATACACATCTATACTGACACTCTATAGAGATACACATCTATAGAGATACACATCTATACTGACACCCTATAGAGATACACATCTATAGAGATACACATCTATACTGACACTCTATAGAGATACACATCTATAGAGATACACATCTATACTGACACTCTATAGAGATACACATCTATACTGATACACATCTATAGAGATACACATCTATACTGACACTCTATAGAGATACACATCTATAGTGATACACATCTATACTGACACTCTATAGAGATACACATCTATAGTGATACACATCTATACTGACACTCTATAGAGATACACATCTATAGAGATACACATCTATAGAGATACACATCTATAGTGATACACATCTATACTGACACTCTATAGAGATACACATCTATAGTGATACACATCTATAGTGACACTCTATAGAGACACATCTATAGAGAAACACCTCCATGAAGCGCTATGTATATATTTATCTCTCCCGCCACTCTTCTATAGCTCTACATTCTCAAACACACTCTCATGGCCGCGTTAATAATGCATGCACGCGCGCCACCACCACCACTACCGACACCACCACCACCACCGACACCACCGCCACCACCGCCACCGCCACCGCACAACACCACAGGTCGAGGCGGAGCAGGCCGGCTCGTACTGCGAGATCGGCCACAGCGCCGGCGACCCCACCGCCGACGCCACCAGGACCAGCTCCGCCGCCATCACCAGCGCGACCGCGGTGCCACCCCTCCTCCTCCTCCTCCTCCGGCAGGACCTGACGTTGCGCCACGGATGGAGGACGGGCGCCATCATCCCGGAGCTGCGCGACGAGATCAACACCATCAACTCGGCCGAGTATACGCGCCAGCTCACCTGGCTGCAGGCGCTCACGGGGCTCATCGACCGCATGCAGGTGAGCCGGAGGGTGAGCGGGCGGGTGAGCGGGCAGGTGAGCGGGCGGGTGAGCGAGCGGGCGAGTGAGCGAGCGGGTGAGCCGGCGGGTGAGTGAGCGGGCGGGTGAGCCGGCGGGTGAGTGAGCGGGCGGGTGAGCCGGCGGGTGAGTGAGCGGGCGGGTGAGCCGGCGGGTGAGTGAGCGGGCGGGTGAGCCGGCGGGTGAGTGAGCGGGCGGGTGAGCCGGCGGGTGAGTGAGCGGGCGGGTGAGCCGGCGGGTGAGCCGGCGGGTGAGCCGGCGGGTGAGTGAGCGGGCGGGTGAGCCGGCGGGTGAGTGAGCGGGTGGGTGAGCCGGCGGGCGGGTGAGCCGGCGGGCGGGTGAGCCGGCGGGTGGGTGAGCGGGCGGGTGAGCCGGTGGGTGAGCTGGCGGGTGAGTGAGCGGGCGGGTGAGCCGGCGGGTGAGCTGGCGGGTGAGTGAGCGGGCGGGTGAGCCGGCGGGTGAGCTGGCGGGTGAGCTGGCGGGTGAGTGAGCCGGCGGGTGAGCCGGCGGGTGAGTGAGCCGGCGGGTGAGCCGGCGGGTGAGTGAGCGGGCGGGTGAGCCGGTGGGTGAGTGAGCGGGCGGGTGAGCCGGTGGGTGAGTGAGCCGGCAGGTGAGCGGGCGGGTCAGCCGGCGGGTGAGTCTGCGGGTGAGTCGGCAGGTGAGTGAGCGAGTGAGCCGGCCGTGGGGGGGGGGGGGGGGGGGGGGGCGTCGAGCAGGAGCGGGGGAGGAGTTGACACGAGTTGACGATTCTGTGCTGAGACGCGCAGCTGTGCGAGTGACTGATAGGACGGTACCTGCGCAAGCAATAGGACACTCACCTGCATGGTAGGACCACGCAACTCTGTGAGTGACAGGCAGCGATAGCACACACACCTGTGTGATATGACCACGCACCGGTGTGCTGGTGCGGTACGTCACCGCGTGCTCCGCCGTGTGGCTGCGTGCGCTCGGCAGGTTTACCGGAGCCCCGAGTGCCTCGAGGTCGTGCAAGAGTGGGACCGTGAGCGCCAGGAGCTCCGGTGAGAATGCATCCACCAGCCTGCTCACTCACTCACCCACTTACTAACTCACTCACTAACTCACTCACTTACTAACTCACTTACTCACTAACTTACTCACTAACTCACTTACTCACTAACTCACTCACCTACTGACCCACTCACTTGCCCACTCGCCCACTAACCTACCCACTCACTCGCTCGTCCACTCACTCACTAACTCACCCACCACTCACTCACTCACCCCCTAACCTCTCGCTCATTCACTCAAAATGCACTCGCTCACCCACTCGGTCATCCACTTCCCCACTCACTCACTCCACTCACTCACCCACGAACCCACTCACCCACCACTCACTCACTCGCCCCCTAACCTCTCGCTCACTCGCTCAAAATGCACTCGCTCACCCACTCGGTCATCCACTTCCCCACTCACTCACTCACCCACGTACCCACTCACCCACCACTCACTCACTCACTCACCCCCTAACCTCTCGCTCACTCGCTCAAATTGCACTCGCTCACCCACTCAGTCATCCACTTCCCCGCTCACTCACTCACTCGCTCACGCACGTACCCACTCACCCACCACTCACTCACTCACTCGCTCACCCACGAACCAACTTGCCCACCCGCTTGCGTGTCCACCAGCCAACTCGCAAACTTAATCGCCCACTCACCCGCTCACTCTCTCTCTGGGATCGTATCGATCCAAAACGGGCAATGCCGCACACGCCGACTCGTTCCAAGAGTTCATACTCTTAGGTTTTTTCGGTAAAGTCACGTAGGTAAAAATTTTTTTTTTATAAAAGTAAAATAAAATAAAAATCACGACGTTTCGGAGGCAACACAAGCTTCCGTCTTCAGGTGGAACCGTCACAGCACGATAGCTGCATCAAGTAAATGAGAAATTCCAAGAACACAGTAATTGTATATATACTGGTTGAGGGTGGGAGGAGCCAAGGTAGGCCATCCCTCCCCAATTTCTCTTCCACTCTAACCGCGCCCACCACCCCTCCCCCCTGCCACACAGAACGGTGACCAAGAGCCTGTTCAACCCCCAGTTCGGCAGCCTGTTCCGCACGCACCAGAACCCGACGTACTTCAACCGGCGGCTGTCGCGCTTCGCCGACGTCTACATGACGTGCGTCAGCTGCCTGCTCAACTACGACCTGCAGCACACCTTCTTCCCGCGCCGGGCGCCGCTGCAGCACGAGGCGCCGCTCTGGCTGGACCAGCTGTGCATCGGCTGCCTGGGACTCCCACGCCGGGAGACGGTCGCCGCCGCCGCCGCCGCCGTGGCCGCCGGTTCTGCCGCCGCGACGCAGCAGGAGCGGCAGTGACGGGGCGCTCGGTCCGCATGTGGTCGGCATGAGCGTTAGCGTGCGAGCGTGAGTGTGAGTGTGAGCATGAGCGTGAGCGAGCGTGAGTGTGAGCGTGAGTGTGAGCGAGTGTGAGCGTGAGCGAGCACGAGCGCGAGTGTGATCGAGCGTGAGCGTGAGCGAGCACGAGCGTGAGCGTGAGTGTGAGCGAGCGTGAGCGAGTGTGAGCGAGTGTGAGTGTGAGCGTGCGAGCGTGAGCGCGAGTGTGAGCGAGTGTGAGTGTGAGCGTGCGAGCGAGCGCGAGTGTGAGCGAGTGTGAGCGTGAGCGAGCGCGAGCGAGCGCGAGTGTGAGCGAGCGCGAGTGTGAGCGAGCGCGAGTGTGAGCGAGCGCGAGTGCGCGAGTGTGAGCGAGCGCGAGTGTGAGCGAGCGCGAGTGTGAGCGAGCGCGAGTGTGAGCGAGCGCGAGTGTGAGCGAGCGCGAGCGTGAGCGAGCGCGAGCGTGAGCGAGCGCGAGCGTGAGCGAGCGCGAGCGTGAGCGAGCGCGAGCGTGAGCGAGCGCGAGCGTGAGCGAGCGCGAGCGTGAGCGAGCGCGAGCGTGAGCGAGCGCGAGCGTGAGCGAGCGCGAGCGTGAGCGAGCGCGAGCGTGAGCGAGCGCGAGCGTGAGCGAGCGCGAGCGTGAGCGAGCGCGAGCGTGAGCGAGCGCGAGCGAGCGCGAGCGTGCGCGAGCGCGAGCGTGAGCGAGCGCGAGCGTGAGCGAGCGTGAGCGAGCGCGAGCGTGCGCGAGCGTGAGCGAGCGTGAGCGAGCGCGAGCGTGCGCGAGCGTGAGCGAGCGCGAGCGAGCGCGAGCGTGAGCGAGCGTGAGCGAGCGCGAGCGTGCGCGAGCGTGAGCGAGTGTGAGCGAGCGCGAGTGTGAGCGAGCGCGAGTGTGAGCGAGCGCGAGTGTGAGCGAGTGTGCGCGAGTGTGAGCGAGTGTGAGCGAGTGTGAGCGAGCGAGCGTGAGCGTGTGAGCGTGCGAGCGTGAGCGCGTGAGCGTGCGAGCGTGAGCGTGTGAGCGTGCGAGCGTGAGCGTGAGTGTGAGCGAGTGTGAGCGAGCATGAGTGTGAGCGAGCATGAGTGCGAGCGAGTGTAAGCGAGCGAGCGCATTGCACGTGGGGACGATGGCGCGCTGCGGCGTACCCGCCGCCCCCGCGGGTCGACAAGCACTCCTGGCGCTCGATAGGCCGGAGCCGGGGGGGGTAGGAGGGTCGTGCGTGAGCGTGGCTGACCCGGGTCATGCGCTGGCCCCCGGTAGGAGGGTCGTGCGTGAGCGTGGCTGACCCGGGTCATGCGCTGGCCCCCGGTAGGAGGGTCGTGCGTAAGCGTGGCTGACCCGGGTCATGCGCTGGCCCCCGGTAGGAGGGTCGTGCGTGAGCGTGGCTGACCCGGGTCATGCGCTGGCCCCCGGTAGGAGGGTCGTGCGTGAGCGTGGCTGACCCGGGGCGAGTGCTGACCTCCGGTAGGAGGGTCGTGCGTGAGCGTGGCTGACCCGGGTCATGCGCTGGCCCCCGGTAGGAGGGTCGTGCGTGAGCGTGGCTGACCCGGGGCGAGCGCTGACCTCCGGTAGGAGGGTCGTGCGTGAGCCTGACTGACCCGGGTCGTGCGCCAACCCCCGGCGCGAGAAGGCGAGCGAGAGATTTGTGGAGGAGGAGGGGGGGTGGTGTCGCTGTTGAGCCTTTGGGGTCATTTTCTGTCCTTGCACGTGGAGTACAAATCGCTATTTTTGTTTGTTTGTTAATGCTGCAAGATGACGGGGGGGGGGGGGGGGTGATGCTTTAACGGGCGAAGGGAAATGTATACAATGCGATGATGTTATTTTTTAAATGTTTAATAACTGGACAAGATTTGTTTACGTAAATAGAACATGGCAATTCGCCACTAGTACAGCACTAACCGGTTGTGTGTTGGAGAGCCAAGCCACCGCGACGTTTCGCCCAGTAATTACCACCGGCTTCATCAAGCGACAGCCAGACTCGTGGAGAAATCCTCCTCCTGTTTCGTTCCTTAAATAGAGGGGGTCGATGTGATGGCATCACTTGTGAGCCCTTCTTGAGAG